CATGAGCAAACAATGAACAATTGTACAATTGTAACTGTATAATGAACTAACATTAAGAAAAGTTCATACATCCAGTAAAAATATAAATAATTTGTTCATGTTAACTAATGCATTTACTAATGTTAACAAGTGTAACCATTACCTTTTAAAAATAAAATCTTAATGACCCCAACATTTTCCTCACAGGAATGCGTGCATATGTCTCCTTGGCCCAGAATAAGTATCTTAACACAGGTTCACATGCACCACACACCTTCGACACCAAATCCACAACGCTACATCATAGAATAACCCAGTGATATCAAGCATCAAACACCCATAAATAAACACCATACACATATATAGTAGCAGAAGAATTTAACAGAAAAAAACTATTATGCACATTATGGATAGCATCCCAAGTTGCGTCAGAATCCACAGGGAGCATGGATTTGTAGAAAAGCTGCTCTTGGCATTTCCCGATGAGTGTGTGGAATGAGTAGATTTCTCTCCAGGCATGCGATAGAGCCTTTACAGTTCAGGGGCATAGGCATTTAGGGTGTGTGTGTACTGCATTAGCCAGTCTAAGCAGAAGGCATTTGAGGATGACTGCATTTAGTGTACACATCCAATTGGCATGTCTGATACATTATAGTATGCGCAAGCCGGGGTCTGGGGCATGGGCTATTTAGTATGGGAGTTAGCTCTCTGTATACTAGCTGATGGATTTGGAAGGCCACACAGGAGAGCTGTTAGTATGATTGAATGCTGCACCAAAAGGGTTAGAGGTCATGTACAGCTCCTTCCACAGATGAATGTCCTTTAGGTAAACTTAACATTATACAGGGAGATTCCTCTCAAGAAGCTCAAGAATTTAATAGGGTTGTCAGATTCTCTGGTTGTCAGTTTGTTGGTTAGTCTTAGTTATGGCCAGCAGCCATATCACCCTGTAGCCCAAGACTGGTTGCCCATTGAAGCTAAGCAGGGCTGAGCCTGGTTAGTACCTGGATGGGAGAACTCCTGAAAAAACCAGGTTGCTGCTGGAAGAGGTGTTAGTGAGGCCAGCAGGGGGTGCTCACCCTGTGGTCTGTGTGGGTCCTAACGCCCCAGTATAGTGACGGGGACACTATACTGTCAAAGAGCACCGTCCTTCGGATGAGACGTTAAACCGAGGCCCTGACTCTCTGTGGTCATTAAAAATCCCATGGCACTTCTCGTAAAGAGTAGGGGTATTACCCCGGTGTCCTGGCCACATTCCACCCATTGGCCCCTGCCAATCATGGCCTCCTAATAATCCCCATCCACTGAATTGGCTCTATCACTCTCTCTCCTCTCCAACTATAGCTGGTGTGTGGTGAGCGCACTGGCGCCATTGTACTGTGGCTGCCGTCGCATCATCCAAGTGGATGCTGCACACTGGTGCTGGTTGAGGAGAGACCCCCTGATATGATTGTAAAGCGCTTTGGGTGTACAGTAGTACATTTGAAAGCGCTATATAAATGCCTCATTCATTCATTCATTCTTAGTTTTGGTAAAGGCAACTAGCATAAAAGTATCGGTTATTCAATGTAATGGACATGGATGTGATAAAAAGGGAATATATCAGAAAATTAACACGCGGCAGCCTACTTTTTACATACTAATGCATATTCGGGTTTCAGCTTGGCAGTGGGGGCACTGTTAAAGGGGTCATATAATGGTACATGCACTTTTACAAGTTGATTGTACTGAAATGTGTGTTGGCAGTGCCTGTACACAACCATCATAAAATGATAAAAATCCATCCAGTGTTTTTGTTTTAATCTCCTTATATGTTTTCCCCTGCCTCAAATTGAGCCGTTCGATTTTGTGACGTCACACGCTCGGAAGCCCCTCCCACGATTGTTGATTGACAGCATCGTTTCAACACAGACCCGCCCTCGCTCGTGAGCGAGCTCAGCTGTCAATCATAGTCTGCGCGGACCGGCGCGGTCATTGTTGATATGCTGGAGCACTGTCTATGAGCAGAATGGCGTCTAAGCGATTGTGGTGTTCTGTTCTTGGGTGTAATAACGAACACAGCAGTCATTTTAATGTTCCTAAATCCGAGCCGCTGAAGACGCAGTGGCTGAGTTTGTTTTCGAAGGGAATATTCCCCACGAGCAACGTCAATGCTTTCATGTTTGCGCGAATCATTTCTCACCAGACTGCTTTATAAACGAGGGTCAGTATGAGCTAGTTTTGCTAAGAAGCTGCTCATGAAAAAAGGATCGGTACCAGCTATTCGTGTTCCTGCTGAATCTCTAAAACAACTGAAGTGAGTGTAACGTTTTATTAAACTTTATTTTAATATTTATATTAATCTTTGCAAATCGCTAGCTGCACGCTTCACAATGAATGCGTCTAAGGTTTACACTTAGGGTACATTACGGCATGTTTTCTATGTATGATGTTCTCAATATAATTCATAATCCCACGTTTATACTGAACAACGCGTTATGTTTATTGTGTTACAAACGGTGTACACACAGAACAGAGAGGCGGGGTGAGCAAAGCTCATTATCATTTAAAGTCATATGCACTGAAACGGCGTGCTGAAAACAAGTAAAATAAGTGTTTTCTTACAATACTAATGAGAATTTTTAATTAAAGTATATTACAAACTTTTAATTTAGACCCTAAAGAATCATAGTAGCTTGTACAAAAATGGTATTATATGACCCCTTTAAGGTGAGGTCACAACCAGCTAACAAAAGTATGTTCTAAGAATGTTAAGCTAATGTTCCCATTGAGTTATGAATGTTATATACACCCCATAAAGGATTATTAGGAACACCATACTAATACTGTGTTTGACCCCCTTTCGCCTTCAGAACTGCCTTAATTCTACGTGGCATTGATTCAACAAGGTGCTGAAAGCATTCTTTAGAAATGTTGGCCCATATTGATAGGATAGCATCTTGCAGTTGATGGAGATTTGTGGGATGTACATCCAGGGCACGAAGCTCCCGTTCCACCACATCCCAAAGATGCTCTATTGGGTTGAGATCTGGTGACTGTGGGGGCCATTGTAGTACAGTGAACTCATTGTCATGTTCAAGAAACCAATTTGAAATGATTCGAGCTTTGTGACATGGTGCATTATCCTGCTGGAAGTAGCCATCAGAGGATGGGTACATGGTGGCCATAAAGGGATGGACATGGTCAGAAACAGTGCTCAGGTAGGCTGTGGCATTTAAACGATGCCCAATTGGCCCTAAGGGGCCTAAAGTGTGCCAAGAAAACAGCCCCCACACCATTACACCACCACCACCAGCCTGCACAGTGGTAACAAGGCATGATGGATCCATGTTCTCATTCTGTTTAGGCCAAAGTCTGACTCTACCATCTGAATGTCTCAACAGAAATCGAGACTCATCAGACCAGGCAACATTTTTCCAGTCTTCAACTGTCCAATTTTGGTGAGCTCTTGCAAATTGTAGCCTCTTTTTCCTATTTGTAGTGGAGATGAGTGGTACCCGGTGGGGTCTTCTGCTGTTGTAGCCCATCCGCCTCAAGGTTGTGCGTGTTGTGGCTTTCCAAATGCTTTGCTGCATACCTCGGTTGTAACGAGTGGTTATTTCAGTCAAAGTTGCTCTTCTATCAGCTTGAATCAGTCGGCCCATTCTCCTCTGACCTCTAGCATCAACAAGACATTTTCTCCCACAGGACTGCCCCATACTGGATGTTTTTCCCTTTTCACACCATTCTTTGTAAACCCTAGAAATGGTTGTGCGTGAAAATCCCAGTAACTGAGCAGATTGTGAAATACTCAGACCGGCCCGTCTGGCACCAACAACCATGCCACGCTCAAAATTGCTTAAATCACCTTTCTTTCCCATTCTGACATTCAGTTTGGAGTTCAGGAGATTGTCTTGACCAGGACCACACCCCTAAATGCATTGAAGCAACTGCCATGTGATTGGTTGATTAGATAATTGTATTAATGAGAAATTGAACAGGTGTTCCTAATAATCCTTTAGGTGAGTATTGGTTGTGCAAACATTAAAGGTAGGTCATGTTTTTTCATAGAACCTTTTTATTATACTGATTGAAACTCTTCCCATCCTGTTAGCAATCAATAATAGAAGAAAATTTACAAATATATTCTGCTCTCTAAATTGTTTATGTTCATTATTATTAAGTCATGTGCTTTGAGACATGAGATAATTTAACGTTGTCTCTCGTGATGCTTTGCAGACTGCTCTGGCTGTGTGTGTGTTCCTGTGTTTTGAAGCAGGTGTTGCTTTGGAGATGCTCTGAAGGGAGGGTGAGGTATTATGCTTTCAAAGCTAGCTTGCTATAGCTAGCCTCTCTGAAATTGCCTACCCTACCTTTAAGGGAACATTCCATTTGATAATTTTGCAAACATTACGGAAACATTACTGTTGCATGTTCTCTGAATGTTCTGAAACAAGTATTAACATTTAAAAAAACATTGAACTAAAATGTATCAGAAATAAAATAATGCAACATTTTTATGCACACTTTTGAGAACATTATTTAAGATTAGACAACTCTGCACACGTTTTATTAATGTTCATGGGAAAACATTTGCTAGCCAAAGTTCTGAGAAAGTTTTCAGAAATTGTGCGTCTAGTCTATGTCAATAATGTAGCGATGTATAAAGCACAGCTCACGCAGAAGTCAACTTGAAGCTGTTGCCAAATCTGCAAAGGGAAATATTTCGCCATCATGCAAAATTCCAGAATGTGTGGATCTCTATTGAAATTACTGGATTTTGCCCTTCAAACATTTGCAGAACAACGATAAACATGACCGCACCTTAACTCACATGAGAAGAGGTTAGCAAATCACAACAGAAGTAATTTACCTTACGAAGTCTTAAAGGTACAATAGAAAAGCATTCTGTTGATTTCCAAGGGTCAAAGCATTCTGTTTATTTCCTTTTTGGTGCAAGCAACCTCAACTAATATCATATAACTTCAGGGGGAAAATATAGTGCTATAAAATTGTTTTCTTTCATTACCATTGAAACTTACTTGGTGATTTGACTGGAGATTGGCTATTTGTAGAGAAGTGTCCGGGAGTTCTTCTTCCTACAGTGGAGAGGAGAGTAATTGAACAAGGAACAGAGCGTTTCAGATATTATTGGGAAAAGAAAAATGACAGGAAGTGACATGTGAATCACAGTAGTCAGAAAGATTCAGAAATTCAGTTTCTGTTGCTGTTATTCTTCCCAAACCTGCCTTCTGTGAGTATGAGGTAAACCAAGTATAGATGAAAGTAACTAAATGCGCTACTTAGTTATTTTTTTAATAAAAAGTAATGTGTTGCGTTGCGTTACTTTACTTTTTCTCACCTGGGCTGGGCTTGCTTGTTGTTGTTTTTTTATACTAATAAAAAAGTTCTATTTTTGGTAAATGTTAAGGCCCTTTTACACCAAAAGTGAGGCTGAAGGAAATACAAATTCACAACTGTACAGTAGAGAGCGCAGCTTAAACAAACCTTTCAAACAAATGCAGGAGAAGTAAACACTCTCATTTAAAGTAATAAAAACAAAAACGCAAATGTGATGTTTAACTAACGTGATTTTTGCTTATATGTTTGGTTGAATTGGATAATCAAAAGGTCAGCAGTGAAGACATTGGTTAATAAAATGAGATTAAAAACATAAAGTACATTTAATATTAATACAGTATTCTAAGTTTGCATTTCACTGTTTTTATTCATATTGAGGAATACTGAATCTGTTTTTGAGTAAATGCATGCTCACATTTTGTCTAGATCTACAATAACTCATGTTGACAGTGCACACAACGCCTCTCCCAATTTCTCTCAGCATGGGAACAGGAAAGGTGTCAGTCAATAAATGGGAAAACAAAGGAACTTGCATTACTTATCTGAAAAATCTTTTATATAAATATAAAATATTTTGTTATATTTGTAAAAGTGATGCGTTAGCCCCAACACTGCGTGTGACTATAGTATCCTCACCTGATCCAGGAGATTTGCTGCGGCGGGTGGGTCCTGGACTTTTACTGCCAGAGTATCTCACAGGAGGAGCAGAACGAGAAGAATAAGAGGACTTGAGCACCTGACATTCTGGACACAGAGACACCATAAATTAGCAGGGAATGTATATATAACAGACAAAGAATAAGGAGCAGTTGATGTCTTACCCATTTCAAACAATTAACCTCTTTGCCTGTTTAACTAATTGTACACTACCATTCAAAGGTTTGGGGATTCCTCAAAAAAAGGAGATTTACATGTATTTTTTAAGTACCTTACAAAAGGAGATCTGGTGATTTACAGTATATGTGCAGTACATATAGTCACACAGACAGGAACATACATGCGTACAAACACCAAAACGTACACAAAATGCGTATCAGGCCTGATGAATGTTTGTTAGTAAATAAGTGGTATCTGCAGATATATTCGCATGTGCCGACACTGTGAAGCCTTCCGTAGAGGCATAATCAAATTGTCTACCCAATGCCTATGAGAGCAGCCTATCTTTCTAATGAGAGCAGTGGATGCAGAACTTTAATAAGGAATGACTCATTCTTAACAGCAGCTATAGTGGGCCCGATCTGTCCTGTCGATTACACGGCACTTGCTAATGACGCAGAGCAGTGATAAATTAGCGGATGAGCACTAGATCATGGAGTGATGAAGTTAAAACAAGCCGAATGACATTATTAAAATGCCATTACTGCCAAGCTAATCTGTTTCATGGGGCTTAATGTAAAGCAGAATCTGAGAGAGAACGTGTAATGAGTTCTTTAGTTACAGAAGATTTAGATTTGGGGTGGGCTTGCGTTTTAAGGACACTCCACTTCTGCTGCGGAAAGAAGAGGTTGAGCAGTAAATACAGTCAGACGCAAACTCGCCGTTTCTTTATATTTTTGGAAAAGTCCTACTTAGTCTAAGTGGGGCAGTGGAGAAGAACTAGGACAAAATGCCAAGAAGCTGAACTAAATTCACACAGCTACGAATCAAGTTATCACAGTGTGTGTGTGTGTGTGGTAAATGTTACAGGAAATGGAGGCGTTTCAGCAAAACAGGACAAAATTACAGGCAAAGTCATATGATTTTATTTAGAACTCCATGGCCACAGAACATCTTCACTTCCCCACCTGCACTTTCATGTTCACTAGTAGACAAACACAAACTGCACACTGAACAATGGTGAGGAACTTCTCATAACAAGGTCACTTCCTCTGACAATGGTAATCCTTTGGTCCCATGTGTTCATTCTTGAAAATGGATTCATTTTTGCAACACAGTGAATGAATGTGTGGGAAATGATACTATTGCAATCCTATCACTTTTTTCTGTAGGAGACAATTCTATGGTGTTTTTGTGCTGAGAGCAAGTTATTAATATGCACAAATACAACATTTGTGTGCTGATACCAATTAGTTGTTCTGTGCTTGTTTTTTCCTGTTTATTTGTTTTAAAGCACTGATGGGAAAAAAAAGTAATTTTATTCCCTATAAAAAATAGGTTCTCAATATAAATATTAAAGACTAGCTGAGATATGGAAAATAAAGCACACACCCATCTCTTGTGCACACCAAGGCTGCATTTATTTGATCAAAAATATAGTAAAATTAAAATGTAATTTATACCTGTGACAATTTCAAATTCAAAGCTGAAATTTCAGCATCATTACTACAGTCTTCAGTGTTTTACATGATCCTTCAGAAAACATTTAATATGTTAATTTGGTGCTTAAGAAACAATTCTTATCAAAGTTGAAAACAGATGTGCTGCTTAATTTTGACGATTTTTTTTTATAAGAACATCATTTATTTGAAATAGAATCTTTTGCAATTGAAACTTTTGGTCAATTTAATACATCCTTTTAGCCTGACTTCGTCATACTCATATTCTAGTCAGAATGTGAGTCTGATACTGCTTCATAGGGCTTTGATTATGAGGCGTGTCTTAACCGAACCAGGAAAAAAAAAACTCTGCACTCAATTGGATAGACCTACAACCAATGAGAGCAACGCAGTAAGTCAACTACTTTGCATAGCACAGTTGTCAACTACAGAACTCAACTGCACGCACGCTGGAAGAAGTAAAATAACGAGTGTTGCTTCTTTTACTTGGTCCTCCATGAGTGCGACCAAAGGAGAAACCACAACGAGCACAGGGTTTTCATTGGGTCCCATCTTCTTAGTTACCATCGGAGCCAGCTGATAAATTAAACTTTTGCCGAATCCCATAGGAAGGACGGCAAACACATCTTTCCGATCGACAAATGCCTTGATTGCAGTTCTCTGTTCGTCTTTTAAAATGAATGCGCTGTCGATTTCTTTTACAACGGACGCTATAGCGGAATCTCTACATCTCAGTTCTCCAGCGGCAGTCATCTCTGAGGGAAACCAGTTCAACCCAAGCGCTCTTTGATAACGTGAGGATTACGTCCCTGCAGATCATCTGTCCATCATCGTATGAAGCCCGCCCTGGCAATTTGATTGGCCCGACGATCTCTGAACCGATCATAATTACTCCTCAATGGAGCGAGTCCAGACCGAACTTCCCGATCAAAAAATGTTGTGGACGGGGTTCGGGCTGGCATCCAGGCTAACATCCTTTCTGAATAAAAGTATTCATTTCTTTCAAAATTGCAATTGTATATCAATGTACAACCCCATTTCCAGATAATTTGGAGAATTTTGTAAAATGCAATAAAATCAAGAATCTGTGATTTGTTAATTCTCTTACACCTTTATTTAACTGACAAAAGTACAAAGAAATGATTTTCAATGTTTTCAGTGACCAACTTAATTGTATTTTGTAAATGTAAACAAATTTTGATGGATGCAACACTCCAAAAAAGTTGGGACAGAGGCACGTCCAACTCTGTTGTAGCACATGCAGAATGAGGCCTGGCATTGTCTTGCTTCCCAGGAAAGATGTCATATTGATGCCATTAAAAGTCTCTCTACAATCCCAATATATATCTCCACATCAATGGTGCCTTCACACACATGCAAGTCACCCATATTGTTTGCGCTGATGCACCCCGTACCATGATGAAAGTCTGGGTGGTCCCTTTCATCTTAGGGACTGAGAACTCAATGTCCATTCCCCCCTCCCCACCCCCCAAAAAAGCTGAAATGTGGATTCATCTAACCACAGCACACATTTCCACTGTCTTTTGGACCATCTGAGAAGAACTCGGGCCCAGAGAACTCAACAGCATCTCTGCATTGAACAGATGTATAGCTTTCTCCTTGCGTAACAGAGATTAAAGTGGCATTTCCTGATACAGCGGCAGACTGTGTTTAGTGACAACGGTTTTCCAAAGTACTCCTGAGCCCATGTGGCTATTTTTAACACAGCAGCATACAAAGTTCATCAAGCCATGACCCAGCTTTGCTTAAAAAAAACTGAGCCTTTGGTGGATCTTCCTTTTATACCCAAACATGATACCCTCACCTTCTACTAATTCACCTGCTAATTGTTTCAAAACAGTTTAACTAGATATTCTGTAATCTATTTATTTTGCCACTGTCATCATTTTTCAGAGTGTGTTGCAGCCATCAAAATCAAAATGTGTTTATACTTACAAAATACAAATAATCTGGCCAGCGAAAACATTGGAATTATTTTCTTTGTACCTTTGTCAGTTAAATAAAGGTTCAAGAGAATGAACAAATCACAGATTCTTGATTTTATTTCATTTTACAAAATGTCCCAACTTTTCTGGATCAATGTGGTGTCTGTGTGTGTGATGTCTTCCTAGATGTGTAGTGAAGGGATACATTTTTGTATTAGAGTTTAGTATGAGAAAAAATTGGTTGAAATGAAGTTAGTGTTTAGCTGAGCCTACCGGTTATAAAGGCTGTGGAAGCCTTACCACTGTGATCCAACACAAAATCATCCTGTGCGTAACGGTGTTTCTCAGGGCCGCACGCGATGAATACGTCATCGTCCCCGAAAAACTCCTGCAAACATGTAATCTGAACAGAGAGAGGGAGGGGTGGGGAAGAGAAAAAGAGAGAAACACTGTTTGAGAAATGAATGGAAGTAATCATGTGACTGCAACAGCTATCTGATTAACTGATAAAGCATGTAGTAGTTCACAATGTTGCGCTGCAGTCTATTCAGACTAGGAGTTTGAAATACCAGAGTATCTAGACTCAGAATGAATCTGCAGAATGTTTTTTTTTTTTTTTTGCACAAATGGACATAAATGTGATCAAATCTGTTAATCAGAACTGAAGGCAGTACACTCTTATTGGTAGCTGAAAGAATGATTGTAGAATTTTATCAATGACAGGCATTCCTCTTCTGTATGGAGTTGGAGCTGTATCTGTGGGTGTAGATTCCTGTCGGCCTGCCAAATATAGCTACACACTTGAATTTTCCAAGTGCGTTTTACTGTAAACAAGAAATAGAAACCATAATTTTTAGTTCAGTATTGTTCTACATGGAAGTTAATACCTGGGAATTTAAACCATGTCTGTAATAAAAACTTGTTTTAATAATAGATTTATTCAATGAATAATATAGAGAATATATTTATCAAAATGCACATCTCTACAGTTATTTTTTTTTTTTCAGACTAATGAGCTGGACATTGAATAGCTTTCCTGAGGTAAATGTAATGACATTCTTTCCAAGCTATTTTACTGATTTCTTACCGTGGTTGAAACACTGATTGAACGATTATGAGACATTATGCATTTTAGTTGTACTGTTTCTTTCAACGAACCTTCTGATGTTCATTCATATTTATTTTGTACTATAACTAGTATTAAAGATGAACAGATAAACGGATCATGTGTCTCTTGAACTGAGGCATCTACAGCAATCTGTAACGCCACATTAAAGACCACCATCAAATGACTCTTGTTTGAATTCTATTATAAAATAGACATTTTTTGAAAGCGGAGATTTTGTTTCATATCGAAAGTAACAAAGCAAAGCTTGTTTTGGCTATTAGATGCACACTACAAATAATGTTCAGGGAAGTTTTGTTCATGCATCAACTGAAAACTTTCTCAACTTTCCACGCAGCTGACATGCTTCCCTGATTTAGCTTATCCACGTTGTGTGCGAAATAGATGGTGACAGTCTTTGGAGAACCGCTAATTAAACAACACCTTGATTTTGGCCCTTCAAGGCGGTTGTGACCGAAACCAAAAATTTATTCAAATAAATTTTTTTGAATGTTCAGTGCATCACTACTTTTAGATAAATTTACCAAATCTGAATTCAGGCTGAGTAATATGCAATGCATCACTAGGAATACAAAAAAAAGGAAACAATTTGAGAGCACATGCAAACACACCCACATACACACACAGCCGCAGTGGGCAAAGAATGACGTCCGGATTTCAGCCCACTCCTCCACACATGGAGGTGGGCAGCAAGAAGCAGATGGTCCCAATGTGGAGCTCCATCAAACACACACATCTACATGGAATTGAGTGAAAGATCACAGACAGATGGAGAGGAACACAGCCCTCTCTTTACCAGCAGGAGTCTGACACTGTATAGAGAAAGACAAAAAAGGCCGAGAAAGAATTGCTCTAAGATCGCTAATAATAAACAAACTATTCAGCCTCTAATGGCAAAAGAGGAGTTTAATCTTTAAATATCCTCACTGCACACATAAAAAGTCACAACAACTCAAATAAATTAGCCGTTTGAGCTCAGAGGCTTAGAAGTCTTTCTTTGTCTGAATCAAAGTCCTGAACTGTAAGGAAGGTCGGTCTGTGGGACGGATCTTGAGCAGTATTTCCATCAATCAGCAGATTAGAGGAACATATGGGCCCAGTTGCTGGCCTGAGTACAGTGGCAGACTAAAGACACAATGGGAGATTATTAAACATGCCTGAAATGATTTAACAGGAATTGGATCTGTGAATTAAAATACAGTCTGGAACAGAGTCAAAAGTGTTTCTGTAAACTGATTGTTGGAAGCACAAGATAAAAATTTTGGTCAACCTATACATTCAAAAAGCACATAGAAGCATGTCAGGGAAAAAAGGAAAGAAAAAACTTTATTTATAATTGATGTAACTTTTCACAAAAAAAATTAGCTCTAAAAATATTTAATTGGGTATAAATATTTGTGTAATGTAGTCCACTGAGGCAAGTGTAGTGAACCCAGTTTTATTAACGTGATACAAAATAGACAGAACTATACCATATTGTGAACATGAGTACATGAATGCAAAAACTAAACTTAAACATAACATGACATGAAACTCACCAAAAAGCAGTTACAGGGAACAAAGCCAAACAAGAAGCAGTGGTAACTGAGGGCTATATATACACACAGAGTCTAATGACTAACAAGAAACACCTGTGCACAATCAAACAATGAACCAATGAGAACACAGGACACATGACAAGAACAAATGAGGACATGACACAAAAGGCTTGTTCGATTTCATGCAGCGCTGTGCAGACCGATCGGCGGCTGATTTGAAGCAGTGCATGCTGGTTAGAAATTTTGTCCGACTTGATGCCATCGAAGTACTGCGAGAGCGATTCGAGAACAGATGGCTGATCAGCTAATTAATACCCAGATAGCACACATACGTCTGCAAGATGTCTGTTAGAGATCACTTCATCTGGAAAGCATCTGCTGTTTACTAACATCTGATAGACATCTTTACGATGTCAGTTTAACATACATTCTAAACTATTACTTCTTAAAGACATTTTCTAAACGTCTATTTGACATCTGACAGGAAACGTCCTATAGACGTATTGCAGATGAGCAAACACTCTAAAAAATACGTCTTCCAGATGTAAACACGCACATCAAATAGACGTCTCCATGATGTACGTGTGCTATCGACGGAGTGTCGATCTACCCATTCTGACATATTCAGTTCCACTAATGCTCACAAATCTGCATTTTTATAACAATAAAAGCTCTTTTCATGTAGTCGTGATGTTATATTGTGTCGTTTATCAAAATAAAACTGATAAAAAATGTAGGCGCCACTACATTGGTATTTAAATAGTATAGGCTTATGTTGAACTTTATTCTTACAAACAGACTCTGTATTAAGCAATAGGCCTATATAAAGTTTTTATTGAAAACATCTCTAAAACGTCTGTGTATTTGACAAATATTGCATTTAACTCACTACATCTCTTACAAAGTAGGCAAACACTACGGGAAGCAGAAAGTGTCCGACCTCAAGTCTCTCCGTTTTCAGCTACACCCGACTGGTTACATCCAGCCGAAGTCGAACGCGTCTATAAGACTATAGTAGGGCTGAATCCGAAATTGCCCCATACCCTAAAATAGGTATTATTTGAGGGGACAGCCATTGTAGTGTTGTCCGAAACCATTGTGGACGTTATTGAGTGCACTTATTCAATCCCACATTGCACTGCAATAATGTGTACAACCGATGTACACTCAACAGCTGTCCAAATTCGCTCACTCTTTTTCATTCACACCTTCAAGTGAACAGTATTTGTGGACTAACGTGGGGAATAGTGAATGAGGGTTTAGGGGGCGATTTCAGATTCAGCCTAAGAAAGCAAAAGACATGATCACATGATGACAGGGGAATCACATGACAAAACTAGGAACCTAAACTAAGGCAAATTACAAAATAAAAGACATGAAAAACAAAAGTGATAACAAACCCACAAACCAACCATTTGTCAGTAAAACTAATAATAATAAAAAAATAAAAAAACTTGTAATCACAAATGACAACAAAATTAATGTAGGCTTAAATAAACTGGTAATAAAAAGTGTAAACCCAGAAGAATAATTAATTAGCCAATGAACGTTTGTAGAAGTAACTAATTTATTGGGGGCCTTCAAATACTGTTGTTTTTGCTAATGGAGTCAAAAAGGTTAAAGGGATAGTTTGCCCCAAAATGAAAATTCATCTACTCACCCTCAACCTGTGTAACTTTTTACTTGTTCTGTTGAACACAAAGGAGAATATTTTGAAGAATGTGGGAAACTAAACAGTTCTGGAGCACCATTGACTTTCATAGTATTTGTTTTTCCTACTGTGCAATGGTGATATTTCAAAATATATGTCTTTGTGTTCAGCAGAACAAAGAAATTTAAACAGGTTCGGAAAACTTGAGGGCGAGTAAATGACGACAGAATTTTTATTTTTGGGTGAACTATCCCATTAAGATCCACTGCAGTAAAGCAATACTCTAATTCTATTGGTTTATTTGAACCAATTTTGCAAGATGCCAAAAAAAAATGACATGCATGGCCTATTCTGAAAACAACAAAAACAACCTACCAATATAGATTTAAACATTTAAAACCATTTTATTTGTGGTTACCAGAATACTTGGAACATTTTCAAGCTGGAAAAACTAGTCATGTTGGTCTATACATGCAATAACCAGCTAGTACCAATAATAACAGACCAATGCGGCCCTTCTAAAACCATATTTTAGACAGCAGGGTGCTCATGAATTCTAGAATAAACAACTGTGCAAAAACTGTCACCACACATTACCAACTTTCTCAGTATTTTGAGAAGTTATGAGTATTCTAATCAGTTGTTAAGGTGTTCTGTGGGTTTGCTAGGACATTGCTCATGGTTGCTAGGCTGTTACGATAGTTGTTAGGGTTAGGCAGTGGCTCAGTGGTTCATGTAGGTTTTCTACAAACCGGAAGGTTGGTGGTTCAATCCCTGGTTCCACCTGACCAAGTGTCGAGGTGTCCATGAGCAAGACACCTAACCCCAGCTGCTCCCGACGAGCTGGATGGCGCCTTGCATGGCTGCCGTCGCCCGTCGGTGTATGAATGAGAGAGTGAATGGGTGAATGTGAGGCAAATTGTAAAGCGCTTTGGTGGCCATTGGGTCTGTGAAAGCGCTATATAAATGCAGTCCATTTACCATTTAGATCTAAAAAGTGACTATTATAATGAGCATTACAAATTTCAAAACAAGTCTTTTACGGATCAATTTATTTTAAGTTTCTTGTAAGGTGATCATTAAGACTT